CTGTATGTGTTTGCTCAGCTGTTACTGGGCAGTGGCGTTGGAACCGTCAGGCTCTACGACACTGAAGCAAAGAAGAACCTCTACGAGTTGAACATCGATGAAACTCACCCGCGGTAAGATCCTCGTCTGTTGATCAGAACCAGCTAAAGTCTGAGAGCAGCTGTAGGTTCAACCGGTCCTGAAGGACTGCTGTAGGAGTGTTGTAGGACACATGTAGGACACCTTTAGGACACCTGTAGGACACCTGTAGAACACCTGTACGACACATGTAGAACACCTGTAGGACACATGTAGAACACATGTAGAAGACCTGTAGGACATCTGTAAGACACCTGTATAACATCTGTAAGACACCTGTAGAACACCTGTAGGACACCTGTAGGACACCTGTAGAACACCTGTAGGACACCTGTAGAACACATGTAGAACACCTGTAGGACACCTGTAGAACACACGTAGAACACCTGTAGGACACATTTAGAACACCTGTAGGACACCTGTAGGACACCTGTAAGACACCTGTAGGACACCTGTAAGACACCTGTAGGACACCTGTAGAACACCTGTAGGACACCTGTAAGACACCTGTAGGACACATGTAGAACACCTGTAGGACACCTGTATAACACCTGTAGGACACCTGTAGAACACCTGTAGGACACATGTAGAACACCTGTAGGACACATGTAGAACACCTGTAGAACACCTGCAGGACACATTTAGAACACCTGCAGGACACATTTAGAACACCTGTAGGACACCTGTAGAACACCTGTAGAACAACTGTAGAACACCTGTAAGACACAAGTAGAACACCTGTAAGACACCTGTAGAACACCGGTAGAACACCTGTAAGACACCTGTAGAACACCTGTAAGACACCTGTAGGACACCTGTAAGACACCTGTAAGACACCTGTAGAACACCTGTAAGACACCTGTAGGACACCTGTAAGACACCTGTAAGACACCTGTAGAACACCTGTAAGACACCTGTAGGAAACCTGTAGCAAACCT